GTCGAGGCTGAGCAGCCGTGGGCAAGGCTCGGGTGAGCACGTGCATGATGATGGGAGCTCACTCGGTGTCAATTGAAGCCCTGGCTGGTGGAGTGGTGGTGGTTGTGGTGGCGGTGGTGGCGCTGCTGCTGCTGATGTTGCTGCTGCTGCTGCTGCTGCTGCTGGTGGTGGTGGTGGTGGTGGTGGTGGTGGGGTGGTGGTAATGGTGATGGTGGTGGTGGTGGTGCTGTTGTCGCTGCAGCTGCTGCTGTTGCCGTTGTTGTTGTTGCTGTTGTTGTTGTTGTTACCACTCCTGCCTGCTGCTGTCGCTGCTGCTGCTGCTGGTGATGTCACTACTGCTCCTGCTGCTACTGTTACGATTCCTGCTACTGCTGTAACTGACGCTACTCGTGTAAGGTGCGCGGAAACTGAGAAGTAGTGAAAGCCCCCGCGAACGTCGCTAACCGGGAGCGATGGGAACACCAGTGCCAAGTATGAGCAACGCTCGCATCATGTCAGACGCCGCATGGACGGAGATGCTCGGCTAGCGTGGGGGCGTTCCCCTATCTAGACCTTGTTTACTGTCCGAGCAACATCACAAATCAAACCGAGAGGAGGAGGCGGATTAAGCTCCTCGAAGCTTCACCTTGTCAAGGCCTGCGTTGAGAAACAGAAATGGTATGAGACGTCATCGACGCTCACGCATGCACGCACGCACGCACGCACGCACACACACGCACGCACACACACACACGCACGCACACATACACACGTAAACGTACACGCGCGTATTTCCCATGTTTTTATGCCCCTGTCATTCGCATGTTCAAGAAGACACTGTGACTGTGACCATCACAGCTATAGAGACTATGCGACCGCGTGCTCCATATATACACGCACCAGCCACGTCGCCAAAATCCATCGCTCTCCTCTACATATAGTGCAGAAATTTTGCGTTGGTCGATGCTTGCCGCACTTGAGTGCGTCAAGGATTTTTGCTAGCCCAAAAAAGCAATTCACCTAACGCACAAAACTTACGAGCAGTGATTGTATTATACAGCAAGGAAGACTCGATAAAACGCGTTAACACGCTTACCAAGATGCAAATGTTGCCAGTGATGTTAAAAGTAAAGGTCGGGCCCTGAATGATACCCTAGTGCATAAATGTATAACCTACAGCGGTCCTATACGATAGATCTAGACCTCGCATGACAGCCTTAGTTCTGTGGAAGCCATTAAGCCATTGAAATATGCGAAATACAAACTATTACCCAAGACGTTTAAAATTATTATTTGTCGCTCTATTGTGTTTTTGAAGCTGTGTTCGTTATAACGAGTAATTGATTCTTTTATAATGCTCCGTCAGTTACGGAAGTATCTCGTTGCCGGATAAATTAGGCCGTCATGTTTTTTTAAAGTATATTTTCTTTAACTATTTGCTCTTTTTTGCATGAAAAGTACTTAGAAATAACATTTTTAAGAACCTGCTAAAAATACAAAACCTTTCAGTAAATTTATTTATTTTACACATCATGATTGCCCGCTACATGACCTACTTATCATTCCCAACTCCAATCAAGGTGAAGGGCAATATGGAAGGTACATACTACATTGCTGAAATTACGTCATTATTAAGAATGAAGCGATTCACAACTGTATTTTCATACTTAATATCTCGTCGAAAAAAATTGCCAACACTATAATTTGGTAACGTTAAGCAGCCATGTTGACTTTATCTGACCTTCTATGGGTGATACTCCATTAGGAATGTTACAAACTTTAATGTTATTAATGGTCATAATATGGTCATATATATATGGTCATGGTCATATATTAGTTTTTGGTTTAATGTCATTTAGGTTAGGGTTAGGGTTAGGGTTAGGGTTAGGGTTAAGATTATTAATCATTAATCATTAATCATTAATGATATCAAAGTTGGGAACACTCCTAATGGAGCGTTAGCCCTTTCTATTGCAGATAGCATACATACGCAACTAGTCAAGTGATCATGAGTTAGCTAGCTGTACATACTTATCTGTTGCTATACAGTTACTACATACATGGAGAGACACACGCGGGAGAAAGCATTGCAATCGAAGAGATAACTGTCATCTAACAGCATAAGCATTAAGCGAACTGTCATCTAACGGCAAGACAATCTGATTGCACCGCTGCCGCGCCCATGAGCTGTCGAAAACTGGGGAGAAATGGACGTCTCGCGCTCACCGTTCAGCGAGGATTAGATTGACGTTGTTTGCTAAACTGCTATCTACTATTTTCAGTCACTATAACCATGATCCTGGGAACTGCAATCACGCACAAGATGGATACAGGAATGGGAGGTCACGCGGGCAGGCAGGCATGCAGGCAGGTAGGCAGGCAGGCAGGCAGGCAGGCAGGCAAGGCAGAACAGGCAAAGCAGGCAGTCAGCCACCCAGCCAGGCAATGCAGGCAGGCTGCAGGCAGGCAGGAGCTCAGGCAGGCAGGCAGGTAGGCAGCAGGCAGGCAGCGCAGGCATGCG